CCCTCACTTCTACTTATCAGTGACCAATGTGGTCACCAGTCAGAGCACATGTCCGCTCGTGTATTCCCATTGAGTCTTAGTCTTGGAAAGGGGTTTGCACTGAGGGGACCCGACCACTTGCCTTGATGTTTCCTGGGTGAGCAACTTGCTTGTTCTTGTAGCAGTTGGACTGCCATTATTATTTTGTATTTTTTCTGTTGGTCATTCTTTCAAGAAGTATCTTCTGTTCTTCTAGCTGCTCCAGGCTGGTATGTTTGTCCTTTCAAGTAGAAATTTCCCACCTCAGAGGATTCTGGATGGGGCTCAGGATTCCCCCTATGGTCTTATGTAATACAGAGTCTCCACAGGAAGCCTCCTTTACTGGGTACATTGTAGCCCCGTTTTAGGTATTCCAATCAATTATAGTCAGAAGACGGATTTACAAGCTTTCTATGGCTATGATGATATTTCCGGCTATTCCTTTCTCTTCCCCTCAAGTGTCTATTTTATAATGGTATGCAAGGGAAACCAAGATTCAAAAACAGCCAAGCATCTTAACATTATTTTACCCTTTCCAACCATGCCTCAGTCCCTGTATCCCTGTTTTCCAAGGTTGTGCATACATCATTACTTACCATTGTTCCACTTAGCCCATGCAAACCTACCTAATTGTTTTCCATCTGCCTTGTTTTTCCATTCCCCTCCCCTTTCTCATGTATTGCCCCCCTTCCCAGCACCCAAACTATCCTGTGTCTATTCCCTACACTGTGCTCCACCTTCTGCTCCCTCCCCCCCACATCCTGGTAACCAGCAAAGGACTTCCCTCCACTTTGGTATTGGGTTCTTTTTCTTAGTCTTTTACAATAGCGGTCCTATTCAGTATTTCTCCTTTCATGATTAACTAGTTTTACTCAACTTAATGTCCTCAAGGTTCATTCATATTATTTGGTGGCTTGCAGCTTTCTTGTTATTCTTCAAGGTAGCATAATAATCCATTGTGTGTATGTACCACAGTTTATCCATTCATTCTTCAGTTAATGGGAATTTTGGCTGTCTCCATCTTTTTGCTCTTATAAATAGTACTGCTATGAACATTCGTGTGCATATATCTACTTGTGTTATGGCTCATATTTCTTGTGGGTAAATACCAAGTAGAGGAATTTCTAGATCATAAGGTATTTCTGTTTCTTCTGAGGAAAGAAAGCACCATATTGTTTTCCAGAGTGGTTGGACCATTTTGTAATCTCACCAAAATGTAGATGGGTCCCAGTATCTCCACATCCTTGCCAGCATTTATTGTCCTCTACTTTTTTGATCTTTGCTGTTATTGTTGATGTGAGATGCTATCTCATTGTTGGTTTGATTTGCATCTCTCTAATGGCGTAGTAGTTACAAATCAGGTTGTGAACCACAAGGTCAGCAGTTCAAGACTACCTGCTGCTCCACAGGAGAAAGGTAAGACTTTCTGCTCCTGTAAAGATTTACAGCTTAGAAACCCTGTCCAGGGTCGCTATGAGTCAGAACCCGAATTAATGGCACTTAACAACAATGGCTAGTGACAGTGAACATTTCTTCCTATGTTTGTTGGCTGCCTGGATCTCCTCCTTGGTGTAGTGTCTCTTCATGTCCTTTGCCCATTTTTTAATAGGGTTATTTGTCTTTTTCTTGTAGAGGTGTTAGTTTCATATTTTAGAAATGAGTCCCTTGTCTGATGTGTCGTTGCAAAGATTTTTTCCCATTCTGTGGGTTCCCTTTTTACTATTCTGGTGAAGTCTTTTGATGCACATAAGTTATTAATTTTCAGTATGTCCCACTCATCTATTTTGTCTCCTTTTGTTTGTATAGTTTTCAAAATGTTTGGTAGTCTGTGTATTCCGTGAATTAGAGCCCTCACACTTGTACCTACTTTTTCATTGATGGCCTTCATAATTCTGGGATTTACGTTTAGGGGTCTAATCCATGATGGTTTGGTTTTTGTTCAAGGCGTGAGGTGAAGGTCTTGTTTCAATCTTCTGCATATCGCTTTCCAGTTCTGTCAGCACCATCCGTTGAAGAGTCTTTCACCTCCCCATGTGATATATTTAGGTACTTTATCAAAAAAATCAGATGGCTGTATGTGGTTGGGTTAATTTCTGGATTCTCATTTCTGTTTCGTTGATCAATGTATCTTTCATTGTACCAGTATTAAGTTGGTAGGTCGTATTTTTCTAAAAATGTATCCATCTCTTGTAAGGTTTCAAATTTGTTGGAGTAAAACTTTTCATAGTATTCTGTTATTATCCTTTTGATTTCCTTTGGTTCCATTGTGACATCGCCCATGTGGTTTCTAATAATACATGTTATTTGTGTCGTCTTCTTTTGTTAGGTTTGCCAGTGGTCTGTCAATTTTGTTAATCCTTTCAAAAGAACCAGCTTCTTGTCCTGTTGAGTTTTTCTATCTCATTTATTTCTGCTCTAATCTTTATTATTTTTCTTTTGGTGGCTGTATCCCTCTGTTGGTCTGTTTCTAACTGTTGTAGATGATGTGTTAATTTGGTTCTTTCTTCGTTTTGGATATGTGTGTTTATTGCAATAAATTGTCCTCTCAACACTGATTTCTCCACATCCCAAAGATTTTGGTATGTTGTGTTTTCGTTCTCGTTTCTAGGAACTTTGTGTGTTCATATTTTATTTCTTCTACTACCCAGTTGCTTTGCAGTAGAGTGTTATTCAGTTTCCATACATGATATTCTTCTCCAGGGACTGGTCACTCCTTATGACATGCCCAAAGTATGTGAGACAAAGTTTTGCCATCCTTGCTTCTAAGGAACATTTGACTGTAATTCTTCCAAGACAGATTTGTTTGTTCTGGCAGTCATGATAATTTCAATATTCTTTGTTGTTGTTGTTAGGTGCCATCGAATCGGTACTGACTCATAGCAACCTTACGCACAGCAGAATGAAATACTGCCCGATCCTGGGCCAACCTCACTACTTATTGTTTCGATGCTGCCACTTGGCCAGTCCATCTCATTGGGGATCCTCCTCTTTTTCTCTGACCCTTCACCTTACGAAACATGATATCCTTCTTCAGTGACTGGTCCCGCCTCACAATATGTCTAAAGTATGAGAGACAAAGTTTGGACATATTGGCCTCCAAGGAGCATTCTGGCTGCACTTCTTCCAACACAGATCTGTTGGTTCTTTTGGCAGTCCATGGCACTTTCAGTATTCTCCTCCAACACCATAAGTCAAAGGCATCAATTCTTCTACGGTCTTCCTTATTCACTGTCCAGCTTTCGCATGCATATGAGGTTATTGAAAATACCATGGCTTGGGTCAGGCGCACCTTAGTCCTCAAGGTGACATCTTTGCTCTTCAACACTTTAAAAGGTCTTGTGCAGCAGATTTACCTAATGCAATACGTTGTCTGATCTCATGACTGCTGCTTCCATGAGTGTTGATAGTTGATCCAAGAAGAATGAAGTCCTTGACAACTTCAATCTTTGCTCCATTGATAAGAATGCTGTTTACTGGTCCAGTGGTGAGGATTTTTGTTTTGTTTACATTGAGATGTGATCCATACTGAAGGCTGTGCTCTTTGATCTTCATCAGTAAATGTTTTAATTCTTTACCAGTACCATAATTCACATGTATCAGTTTTTCTCTGGTCTTCCTTATTCATTGTCCAGCCCCCATTGTTGTCAGGTGCCATCGAGTCGGAACCGACTCACAGCGACCCCACGCACAGCAGAACGAAACAATGTCCGATCTTGGGCCAACCTTACTACCGCTGCCACACTTGAGTCCATCAATGATGCCACCTGGCCAATCCATCTTGTTAGGGGTCTTCCTCTTTTTCTCTAACCCTCCACCTTATCCAGCATGACATCCTTCTCCAGCGACTGTTTCCTCCTGACAATATGTCCAAAGTATGAGAGACGAAGCTTAGCCATCCTGGCCTCTAAGGAGCACTCTGGCTGCACTTCTTCCAAAACAGATCTATTGGTTCTTTTGGTAGTCCATGGCACTTTCAGTATTCTCCTCCAACACCACTCAATTCTTCTATGATCTTACTTATTCACTGTCCAGCTTTCGCATCCATATGAGGCTATTGAAAACACCATGGCCTGGGTCAGGTGCACCGTAGTCCTCAAGTTTCAAGAAAGTGAGGCAGCACAAGAGGCACTCACTCATCTCTGCCAAGAAATTTGGAAGACAACTATCTGGCCGACTGATTGGAAGAGATCAATATTTATGCCCATTCCAAAGAGAGGTGACCCAACAGATCATCGGACAATCTCTTTAATATATCAAGCAAGTAAAGTTTTGCTAAAGGTAATACAGAAACGGCTACAATCATACATTGACAGAGAACTTCCAGAGGGTCAAGCTGGATTCAGAAGAGGCCGTGGAACAAGAGATATCTTGGCTGAAAGCAGAGAATACCAGAAGGATGTTTACCTATGCTTTATTGACTATGCAAAGGCTTTCGATTGTGTGGATCAAGACAAGCTATGGACAACATTGAGAAGTATGAGTATTCCAGAACGCTTAATTGTACTTCTGAGAAATCTGTACCTAGACCAAGAAGCAGTTGTTCTAACAGAACATGGGAACAGCCCCCATTACAAGCTAGTAATTAATGAAAACTGAAAATTACCAGGAACATCATGTTGTTGTTACATGCCATTAGGTCAATTAAGACCCATAGCAACCCTGTATATAGTTTCCAAGGAGTAGCTGGTGAGCTTGAACCACTGACCTTGCAGTTCAAACGACTGCAGTCTGATGCATTAGCCCACAACACCAGGACTCCATGGTCCTATTACATACTTTTAATATCACCATCTCTGAAGGCCACCTATCAGAATGTAAGCAAGTAGATGTTGATTACAAATAGTGCTTGTTAAGTTTGTGGGCATTGTTACTGTCAGCATTTGCAAATCCTCTCCATATTTTCTGTCCTATCCTATAATGATAAATTGATGCTTAGATTTTCTAAGGGTTGATTACTTACCATTGTTTTACTTTTAACCTAGAACTTTTCTGGGAAAAGAAGAAAAGTTCATCCACCTCAAGTAAGTTACTGCATTTTCATTTTTGTTTCTGAGGTAGTTTGATAAGTTTTATACCTTTCACTTTCATAAAAGTTTCTACCGTGGTGCCCTTTAGTGCCCTTTACATTTAGGATGTGGCCATCATATACAGTTGTTCAACCTAAAAGTTCTTTTAGAGGAAAAAAACAAAACCGTTTCCCACGCTATTTGATATTTTAAATATTTATAGTTCATTTAGCACTTTATCTGCATCTAGGCATCTAGACACTTCAGAATCTTATTCAGCAGTTTGTGTTCTTATTGTTACAGCAGAACTATTCACTGGCTGAACTTGATGAGAAAATTAGTGCCCTCAAACAAGCCCTGCTCAGAAAATCAAGAGAAGCAGAATCCATGGCAACTCATCACCTTCCATGAAAACTTGTCATTTTACCTAATTTGTATGTGTGTAAGTTACAGTGTAATTAATTACATGCATATATATTTATCAGTGTCGCCTTCACTCTGTGAAGTCAAGGTTTATTTTCAAATCAGTCCAATTTATAGCAAGTAATCTTCAAATATTCCAGTGAGTTTAGAAATAGTGAATGCATTAAAAATAGAATTACGGATTTTGTTTTCCCCCTCCTGTTATAAAGGAGGTATTTTGGAAATTGGAAAACTTAATTTTGTGTGTGTGCATGTACCATAGAATTATTTTGGATAGTGATATTTAAAAGTACTTTATATTTGTAACCAGCTTACCAGCTTATTAGGTTGAATCAGTACCTTCCACTTAATAATCTTTTGACAAGAAAAATTGCAACAAATGGAAAAACTTGTTAATTCAGATAATGTAAATAAACAGTGGATTATTTTGGACATATTTTCTAATTGTACTCACTGCTGGCCATGTGACCCTGGAGAAGTTACATTTTGTGCTTCATTTTCCTTATCGGTAATGTGGGGGTGGGGTTAATAATAATAGACCTGCTGCCTGGATTTTATAAAGCATAGATGGGTTCATGCAAAGCTCTGAAAACACTGCCCCCAGTAAATATGTTGTAACTACCGTATAAAATCCGATCTGTTTATCTTTGGGCCATAGTTAAGAAGTTACAAACAAATTCTAGTGCTCTCCTTTTGAGAGCCTCACGTTTGTTGTTGTGGCTGTTAAGTGCCATTGAGTTGGTTCAGACTCATAGAGACCCTTTATAGGATTTCCAAGTTGCAGAAGGTGAGTTTGAACCAACCTTGTGGTTAGAAATCTACTGATTATCCTACAGTGCCACATCAGGACTCCAGTTATATTAGCAGTATGTTAAGTGTTGAGTCATTTGTGACTCATGGCAACCCTGTATAGCTGGTGGGTTTGAACCGCCGACCTTGTAGTTAGCAATCCAGTGCTTATTCTGTAGTGCCACACTAGGACTCTCTCTATTGCCATCGTGGCAAATAAACGTAAAAAATGCAGCTATAGTTTGGAACTGTTTGGTAGCAAGATATCCACCTAAAATGTGAGTTGCTCCAAATAAGCAGAAATATGGAACTTGTAGGAGCTCTGGTAGCGTAGTGGTTATGAATCGGGCTGCAAACCTTAAGGTTAGCGGTTCAAAACTACCAGCCGCTCCGCGGGAGAAAGATGAGGCTTTCTACTCCCATAAAGATTTACACCCTCAGAAACCCTGTACAGGGTCGCTATGGGTCGGAACCGACTCGACAGCACTTAACAACAACATGGCAGGAAGTATTGCTAGACTGGAATCCAGAAAGTCACCAGACATCTAATCGCTGTCTCCCTCCCTCTCCCTCCCTCTTTCTTTTTACACACATTCATTTGTGCAAATGCTTTTATCTCCCACTATGAACTGGTTTCTTTTAATCCTCTCACTCCCCTCTCCATCAAAAAAGCAAAAAATGTCATACCAGTTACCTACGGATTGATTCTGACTCTTGGCTTCTTCGTTTCTGCTTCCCCACAGCAGATACCAAGTCAACTCTGTACAGTCTGGGTTTGTTTTGGCCTTTGAGCTACCATGGTGCAAACTCTCCACCCACCTCTGTAGAATCTCATGACTCTGTTGACTACTGCTTACCCAGTCTTTATATCTCTTATTTCAAATTCTTCAGAAAGTGAAACTGATTCTAGGCAGGATGGTGAGGTGGCACCTCTTCATAGAATAATGCAATGGACACCTTGCACAGCTGTTTGTGGGAACCTTAAAGATGTGGTTTCCTGGTGAAATCATGGGGATGTGGGCTAGGTCATTTCCACTGATGTCTCCCCACTGTGTTTCATCTCTGCCCCGTAAATTCATCCATCAACGTGGAATTGCCTAGGTGTCCTTGTATTTTATGTAGTTACAGTTGCCTACTTACCAATCTGTCGAGTCGGGACGTGATCAATCTTGCCAGAATTCTATGACTTTGCTAGACAGTAGAAAAAAAAAAAATACAACAAAAATAGTCAGAGAAGGTGGTTGGCTTGGAGTTAGGAAAGAAATCGTACTTCTTGACTCCCTTGGCAGTAAAATAAGCTATTTTTGGCAGCTGTATGATCTGCTCATTTGAGGGATTTCCTTTTTTCATTGTCTCTCCCACCTACTCTTCTGAGGGTTACTAAAGGGGGAGGCGTCTCTCTCCACTTCACTAAGTACTTTCTGTCTGGTGCCAGCATCCTTCTCAATTAAGTCTGGAGCCTGCACAAGAGGCTACGACTTAACACCATGTTAGTATGAGTTGACCTTACGGACTTATTCTTCTCATCTAAGCTTCTGGCAATAATGCCTCCACAACTTTAGTGGGCTTTTAGTCTTTGCTTTACTTGAGCATGCCATTGACTACTAGGTGATGCCAGGAATTTTTATGGGGAGTAAGCATAGTAATCAGTAGGCTACCTAGTGATCATTCCTGCCGGATTTTGGTAATTCACCTCTTGTCCCCATTGTTTCTTCTTAATGGCCCTATCCTCAAGGGGCAAGTGACCAGCAAGAAACTGGCAGAGACAGGATGCACTTCTTCCCTTATCTGCCCCATATAAATCCCTCCTCCCAACACCCTTTTAGAGAGATTGCATTCCAATCTAGGAATGGGTTTTACAGTGCATGGAGTTGGGAGGATGGACATCAACCTATTTGTCCTGTGGCAAAGGCTCAGGCTTTGTGGCTATTCTGGCTGCTGCTAGGTAGCCTTCTTTCAGTTGCTACGTTCCTGTGCTTATCCAAACTTATGAGTACTATCCACATCTGTTCTTCAGCAATCTGGGAAAAAGCTCCTTTATGGAACATGTCAAGTCAATTCTGTCTCAGTAACCCTATGTGCAACAGAAGGAAATGATGTCTGGTCCTGCACCAGCCTCACAGTTACTGCTGTGTTCAAGCCCATTGTTGCAGCCACTGTGTCAGTCAATCTCATTGAAGGTCTTTGTTTTCACTGACCTCCTACCAAGCATGAGGTCCTTCTGCAGGGAATGGTCCCTCCAGGTACCATGTCCATAGCCTCACTTCTAAGGAGCATTCTAGCTATATTTCTTCCAAGACAGATTTTTGTTCTTTATTCAAAGTACTATGGACTTCCTATTCTTTGCCAACACGATAATTCAAAAATATCAATTCATTATCCAGCTTCCGCATGCATATGTTGTTGTTAGGTGTCATCGAGTCAGTTCGGACTCATAGTGACCCTGTGCACAGCAGAACGAAACACTGCCTGGCCCTGCACCATCCTCACAGTTCCCATTACACTTGAGCCCATTCCTGTTCCCACTGTGTCTATCCATCTTATTGGGGGGAGGGTGGGGGGGAATCTTAATCTTTTTCGCTGACTCCATTTTACCAAGTATATGTCTCCTCCAGAGATTAGGCCCTGCGGATGATGAGGTAATTTTAAATACCATGGGTTGGAGCAGGTACATCTTTATCCTCAAGTGACATCTTTGCATTTTAACATTTTAAAGATGTCTTTTGCAGCAGATTTGCCCAATGCAATACATATTTGATTTCTTTTCTGCTGCTTCCATCGCCATTAATTGTGAATTCAAATAAAATGAAATCCTTGACCACTTCAATCTTTTCTTCTTTAATCATGATGTTGCTTATTGGCCCAGTTGTTTTCTTTATTTTAAGGTGTAATCCATACTGAAGACTACTATTTTGGAACATATTATATAATTTTCCTGCTCTTTTCTCTCTGCTTTTAGATTGACAAGCTTGAATAGAAACATATTTCTTTGCCATTGTCTTTTAGTATTTACAGAGACTAAAGGGCACATTCCTGTTTTTTTACACTTCACATCTTTTAAACACTAAAGTTTGCCTCTAGTACACACATCATTTAGGTTCCAAGTGATTTTAAGAAATTATTCCGTGAACTAGTTTGCCATCACTTGCCTCAGATGAAGGAATCCTGTCTGTTCACTTGTACCTTTTATCACTATACCTCTCTGCCTTGACGCCAGAACTTGTATTTCACTGAGGGTCTGTTTCTAGCAATCCCATTTCTGGGACTAATTTATGCTGTAGTGTTATCTTGTTTCCAGGAAACAGGAACCCAGTTAGAACTGTTAAGTAAAGGTGTGTTGTTACAAAAAATCAGATGAAAACAAACTGTAGGAAGTTTACAGGTTTTGTCACCTCTCCTGAACTGCACAGCTACTACTCGCCCTTCGTAGCTTGACTCTTTCAAGACGTCTTCTTTCCTGCTTCCTTGCAATTTCGGCTTGCTCAGGGCTTTGGCCACTAGCTATGGCCCAGAGCTGGCTTCAGTGTCTAGTTACTGTTTAATATTCAAAATGTAGGGAAAAAAAAGTCACTCTTAACTTGGGTCAAGTGCCCACCCCTGGATTAATTGTGACTCGAGAGGCAGGATCTTTAAGAACAAAACTTTCCATGTGTACCCAGCCTCTTGGAGAATGAGGGGACCCTACTAGCAAAGACAACATGAATTGGGAAACTGATTTAGACTGGCTGACCTCTATAAATTTTACACTTCTCTGAGAAATAATTTTTTTTCAGTGACAATAACTATAAAGCTTTATGATCTTCCAACCCTTGATAAACCATCAAAGCCTTTTAGACAATATTTTAGTTTTAGGGTTCTCTTTGAGTAGTTCTAGCTATTTGTAGAAAATGATTTCTAAGGACCTTTAGTCTTTCATAGATGTCTTCCTAAGGACAATGAGAAAACTTACTTTTTAAAGAATAGAATAAAACCCATTATAACTTGCCCTATAAATAAATCAATAATCTCCAAATATGCTTAAAAAAATTTTTTTTTAAATAGTAATGATAGAATCACCTAGAGGGTGATATAAGCCAGTGAGACCTGTGAGAGCCAGAACTTGACTGCTTTGTTTTACCAGGTCTCTCAACTTTTCTGCCTTTTGACAGGGTATAGTATCCATTAGGATGCTCTTGTATGTAAATTACAGAAAACTCCTC